CCATGCAAATAAAGTGCTTATAGCCCACCAAGGGGATTGTATAGCTTGCTAATAATGTAAATAAGGTACATGGCACACTTGCGGAGGTGGGACCATGCCAATAAGATGTACGGAACCTTAACAAGGGGATTGCTCAGTTTTCCATCCCACGAGGCTTAAAATGAGCCATCCCAGAGGCGGAGAAAAGGCGACCTCACTACCACCAAGAAAGAAGAGCTAGGAGTAGAGTGCGTCCTTTGGGCCCAGGAGCCCTGTGCTGAGAACCTCCTAGATCCAGGAGATAGAGAGAGACAGCTGTAACACTGGAGACAGCGCAAGATGTCAAGAAGCAGCAGCAGCATAACAGAGGCAGCAGAAGTAGGAGACTCGCGCAAGACGGCATGGTGGGCTTCCTGGCCCACAGAACAAGGCAATTACAGTGGGTGTGCCAACCCACGGAGCAAGAGAGTTCAACACCTTCGGTCAGGAGGCTTACTGGTGGAGTAGGGTGCCTCAGGGCACTGAGATAGAGAGCTGAGCACTTTCGGGCCGAGGCTTACTGGTGGAGTAGGGCACCTCTGTGTACTTAGAATTGGTGGGAACGAAGGGAGTAGAAAAATCGCCCTTAGAACCACATGGTGACAACTGCTGTCGGTGAGATCTGCTCATGGATGCTAAACTTAGTGAGAGGGCACTGAAGGAAAAGCAGGACATTTGCATGTTCTCAAAGTTTCATCCCCAAAATAATTATTTATTAATCACAAAGGGAAAAATAGTAACTTTATTGTGAAGAAACCTGACGGACACCACCTTAACCAAATGACAAAGTTAGCCATCACCAGGAATACGACCTATTGATGTCATATGCCCCTAACATGATGTACTGAGAAGGGCACAATGTCACTTCTATAATATTCCTGCCAAAAAATGCATTACCTCCATCCCAAATTGAGGCACATTCTGTAGAACAACTGGCCAGTACAACTCAAAAGTGTCAAGGTCACAAAAGATAAGGAGAGACTGAGGAACTCTAGCACAGGTTAGAGAGGAGACTAAGAAGACTTGGCAACTAAATGCAATGTGGAATTCTGGATTATGTCTTGGTACAGGAAAAAAAAAAAAGTTGAAAAATTGATGAAATCCAAATAAAGTCTGTAGTTTGGTTGACAGTATTGTACTAATGTTAATTTTCTAGTTTTGAAAACTGTTGTTGTTGTTAGGTGCCACCGAGTCAGTTCAGACTCACAGAGACCCTAGGTACAAAAGAATGAAACACTGCCTGGTCCTGCGCCATCCTCACAATTGTTGCTATGTTTGAGCCCATCATTGCAGCCACTGTGTCAATCCATCTCATTGAGGGTCTTCCTCTTTTCTTTTTCGCTGACCTTCTACTTTACCAAGCATGATGTCCTTCTCCAGGGACTGGTCCTTCCTGATAATATGTTCAAAGTATGTGAGATGAAGTCTCACCATCCTCATTTCCAAGGAGCACTCTGACTGTATTTCTTTCAAGACAGACTTGTTCGTTCTTCTGGCGGTCTGTGGTATATTCGATATTCTTTCCCAACACCAATTAATTCAAACGCATCAATTCTTCTTTGGTCCTCCTTATTCATTGTCCAGCTTTCACACACATATGAAGCAATCGAAAGCTAGCTTGTGTAAAATGTTACTATGAGGAGAAGCTGGGGAAAGGGTATACAGGAACTCTCTGTGGACTATTTGTGTAATTCTTTTAGAAGTCTAAAATGATCTCAAAATAAAAACTTTTGAAGTTTTATAAAAAAGAAAGAAATAAAGTGCTGAGCAAACAACAGAACAAGGCTAGGAGTCCAGAAATTGAGTGCTGGCTCTGTCTCCAAGTGCCTGTGTGGTACAGGCCAAGGTCAAGCCCTCTCTGGGCCCCGTACAATGAGAAGATGGTCTCCGAAGGCCCCGTCCGGACCTCTGACACCCTATGTTCCCCTGAGCACTGGCTTGGCGTCCACAGTCTGACTCCAATTTGTCCTAGGGCCACTGCCCATGTTCTATTTCCTCACCTGCCTTCCCAGTTTCACTCCACACTTTCCTGTGGCTTGGGCGGGGCCTGGAGGCAGAATTTGTGAGGCCGCAGCGCCCCCTACAGGCTAAAGTGTAGAAGTACACCACAGTAACAGGAATGGAGGACTGGGCTGGGGAAGACTTCCAGGTGCCATCACCAGCTTTGAGAAAGGTGAGAGATGGACCTGTGCCTTGAAACCGCTGCCTCCTGGAGGGGGACTCTGTTCAGCCAAGGGCATCAATGGGGTACTGGGGAAGGGCGAAAGGGCGGTAAACTGTGCATTGCTGGGCTCCTGGGTGGTGCACCCTTAACCCCCATAAAGAAGAGGAGCGTCAACGTAGAGGACTAAAGGCTGGGCAGAGAGCTCTGGAGTCGGCCGGCCTGACTGCCGGCCTCAGGTCTGCCATTAAAAGCAACAGCTAGTGCTCACTGTTGACCACATGCCAGGAGCTAAGCCCACTTTACACACATCACATCACTGAATCCTCACAACAATGCTTTTCGGTAGGAGTTATTATTTCCACTTTACAGAAAAAGAAACTACAGCCCAGAGAACTTATGTGACTTGTCCAAGGTCGCCACACTGGTTAAGTGGTAGATCTGATTCCAGGGCACACACTTCCTCACACTGTGTAATACGCCTCCTATGTGACCCTGAGGTGGATGGGCAAGTCACTTCCACTCTCCGACAGGAGGTAGGAGCATCTGGCTTTCGTGGGAGTTAGGGGAGATGGGTTGATGTTAAAGGACTTCGGCTGAGCACAGAGGCCTGCCCAGAGGATGCCATGCCCAAGTGACTCAGAACATGACAGGGATCAGCAGATCCACAGCCACATGAGGGCAGACAGGCAGGCTCCAATGTGAGGGGTCAACGTCGGAAGAGGCCTGTGGGCTGGAATTCAGGATGCCTGGGGTGAGCCCACTCTGGCCAGGTACCAAAGTGTTCCCCAGCCACACCCCATGCGTGCTGAGAACAGGGGCTGCATGAATCCTGATTACATGATGTCATCTGCCCGCTCCAAACCTATTTCTACAGCTATGAAATGGAATAATAGTCCCGGCCCTGCCTACCCGACACAGAGATGGGGCCCAAATAAGATAATGGATTTGCAAGTCCTCAGTAAACTCTGCATTGCCACATAGCGATAAGGAATTAAGTTATTAATTACTACCATTACACAGGTGCTGGGTTTGTTAAGAGACACTGAGCCCTGCTGTGCAGTCACTGCATCCCATTAAAGGGGAAATACATGTGTGTAAGAAACTGGAACTCAGCTCTGCAGCAAAGAAAAAGGTGAAGAACAGGGAAGGGACGCACAGTAAGTCTCCTGCTTGGGGACTCGATATCAGCCAGGGCTGGGACAGAAGGTAGGGAAAAGGGGGAAGAGAGCCATGCTGATGTAGGCTTGGCTGTTCCCCTCTGCATTTCAGAGGCTCCAGGGCGCAATGACGGGGCTGGGGGAGGGATGGTTATAATCACAGGAGCTTAGCAGATCCCCTGAGGCACTTCCTCAAGCTACCACCCTAATTCTGCCAGAAATACCTGACATGTTGAACTGAATTTCGGGAGCCAGCCTTTAAGAGAGACCTTGACAAATTGGAATGTGTTCAGGGAATGTGCCAAGACTGAGCAAAGGATGCTCTGCTACCTTCTCTGAGCAATAGCTGAAGGGACTGGAGCTGTTCAGTCTGAAGAAGAGGAGGCTTGCAGGGGCCACGAAGCCACGGTCATTGCCAGCGGCCTCTGAGCATGGGTGCCAGGGAATGGGATGCTCCACGGGGTTGAAGGCAGAATAAGGGCTGAGGAGTGGAAGCTCCAAGGAGGTGGACGTCAGGCCAAGCTAAGGAAAAGCCATCTCACAACCAGAACCTTCCCACAGTGAACAAACAGAGGCTGGGTACCAGCATCAAGGGTGCTGAGAAGAATTTCTGACCACATACCTGCTGCTGGCCGGCCGTCACCTTCTTCCCTGTGCCTTCCATCTTTGGGGAGTCTGGCTGCCTGGAGGCACCCTCTTTGTTGCTGCTGCTCATCAACAACTTCTTGAGCTCCATATTTTCCTCCCTGGGTTGGAGGCAAACAGAGAAGTTACAATGCCACCCTGGGTTAAGGAGGCTGTGGGGCCTCAGATCCACTAATCACGTGAGCTGCGGCTGAGTTCTTGGGATTAAGGAAAATCCTGAAACCTACCTCAAGCAGAACTAAAAAAGGTATCCTTAGGCTGCCTTACTGGCAATCTGTGGGCTTCCCTAGAGGTGGCTGATCCTCAACAGGAGGCTTCCCCAACTATGGAATGTCTGTATACGAGATCTTCCTTAGCCAGAATTAACGTGGTTTCACTTTCATTGTATTAATTTTTAGAGTTATGGTCTATTTATTACAGGTAATGCCGTTTTCCGTTTACTCTAGTGAAAGTTGCCTTTTATAATAATTATAAGCAAAAACACCAATCAAGTTAAAGTAAAACCTAAAGAAAATAAGGTAAGTGATATGAGACATAATAAAAGTTGCAAAGTGGATTCAGGTCTGACTGAAATATGGAAACCATTTCTTTAGGTTCTATTTGCCAGCTGGGTTTCCCCTTAATAATAGAAAAACAGGCTCCCTGGTGGCACAGCAGTTAAGAGCTACAGCTGCTGACCAAAAGGTCAGCAGTTTGAATCCACCAGCTGCTCCTTAGAAACCCTATGGGGCAGTTCTACTCTGTCCTACAGGGTTGCTATGAGTTGGAATCGACTTGATGGCAAGGGGTTTGGTTTGGTTTTTTAATAGAAAAATAGAGAAGTAAAATGGCTTTCTCAAGGTCACACAGTGGGGACTTGTGCTCTTCCTTTTCAATCCATGGGTCTTTCCTCCAGCCTGGGGCTTTCAGATCCCTGAATTGAGTCATTATGGCTATAAAACCCCCAACTACTTGGCCATCCAAAAATAAATAAACACATGCTAATTCAAAATGGCACAGGAGCTCAGGTAGTTAACTATTACTGTGGTCATACTGAAGACATTTATATTCTTTCTCTTTCCCGTTGATTCTAACAAGCAAGAGGAGGGAGGAAACTTGGGACTGGTGAGTCCTGGCTTTAACCCAGACCTCTCCTCGTGTACCTGAGTCCAGCTGGTACCCACCAGGTAATTCATTGCCTGAATCATCCAGGACCACAGTGTAGGCAGGGATTATGGTCCTTTTAGTGAACGGAAGCAAGGAGACCATGCTCTCTTTATGAGACCTGAAGCAAGTCTCTGTCCCTCTCTGGGCCTCTGCACAATGTCCCTCCCATCTGCGCAATGAGGGGTTTGGTCTACAGGATCTCTAAGGGCTCCTCTAGCTCTGACAGCCAAGGCCTGGGCCCACTTACATCAGAAACACACAGGCCCTTGGTAAAAGGCAAACTCCTAGGTACCTCAGACCTACTGAATCCAAATCTTGACAGTGGAGGGAGGGGCAGGTGTGGAAACTTCTAATGCTCTACCCTCCATGATTCTGATGCACAAATGAGTTCAAGACCCATGAGCCCAGATGAAGGAGCCCTGGCTGTTCTCAGGAAGACAAAGCAGAACAGAATGGTAACCAGCAGGGGGCAGCAAAGTCCTGACTGAGTCCTCTTTCAAACAGCTAGTTGGATGGCTATTAACAGGCTAAGAGAGAGAGCTCCCAAGAAAGGAGTACAATGTGTATGGACTTTCTTCTGAGGCTCTCAAGGGACTTTACAGACACTCCCCAAGGTACTAAATAGGCCAGAGTTTATTCTGTCCAATAAACAGAGAGGAAATATCAAGAGCCATGGAAAAGGACCAAGATGCCTGGCACCTAAAGCAGAGCTCTGGCACAAGACCTCAGAGCTCTCAGCTCTCATCTAGGCTTCTGATTCCAGAAATCAGAGCTCTCAGCTCTCATCTAGGCTTCTGATTCCAGAAATCAGGGCTCTCAGCTCTCATCTAGGCTTCTGTTTCCAGAAATCAGTGCTGTGCACCACCTGTCCTCCTTCTGCCATCTCCACTCCTGAGGCCTGGACTTACCGAAGCCTCTCAGTGGCCTGATCCCTTTGTTCCAGGCCCTTGTCCAGCTTGGCCTTCAGGACCTCATTCTCCTTCCGAAGCTGCTCACACAGGGTCTGCAGGACAGACAGGTAGATAGGAGCAGGGTAAGGGTGGGTGTACATCCCAAATGCAGCACATACTGAGGACAGGGAAGGGGCTGTAGCTGCTCCACGTCCCATCTCTGATCATCCCCTTGATCTGGCCCTCCCTGGGCCCCTTTTGGGACAGCTGGGAGCCAAGACAATAGACCATCCAGGCCCTCTAGATGTCCTCTCCTTCGGGGACTAGCTGTGGAAATGCCTGACCAAGAATCTGCCACATGGTCCTCTGGTCCTCCAAATCACAGTGCACCATTCCCGCTCAGGGCTGTTCCCACTGCCCAGAATGTGCTTCCCTCCAGCCTTCCCCTGGATGACTTCTACTCCTCCTTCAAGTTGTAGCTTAAATGCAATCTTCTCAGAGAAGTCTTCCCTGATTCCCACACCTCAGCTAAGTTAGGCCATTTCCATTCTCTTCACTCATGGCACCCTGCTCTTATCCTTCTTGGTACTCGTGACAATTACTGTTTTTAGGTGTTATCAAGTCGTTATAACTCATAGCAACCCTATGTACAATAGAACAAAACACTGCCGGGTCCTGAGCCATTCTAACAATTGTTGTTATGCTTCAGCCCACTGCTGCAGCCACTGTGTCAATCCATCTCATTGAAGGTCTTCCTCTTCTTCGGTGACCCTCTATTTTACCAAGCAGGATGTCCTTTTCCAGGGACTGGTCCCTCCTGATAACTGTTCAAAGTACGTGAGACAAAGTCTCGCCATTCTTGCTTCTAGGGAGCATTCTGGCTGTACGTCTTCCAAGACAGATTTGTTCATTCTTCTGGCAATCCATGGTAGATTCAATATTCTTCATTAACACCATAATTCAAAGGTGTCAATCCTTCAGTCTTCCTTATTCATTGTCCAGCTTTCAAATGTGTATGAGGCAACTGAAAGTACCATGGCTTGCTTAAGGCACACTTTAGTCCTCAAAGTGACATCTTTGTGACAATCAGAGCTACATAATGGTGTCATGATTTTCTTCATGTCTGATCCCTTCACAACCTTCTAGTCTGTGAGGTCCCAGAGGGCCGTGAGCTACCCTACACACACACATACACACCCAGGATCCCCAGCCCTTACAACAGGAGCTAGCAAAGGGTCAGCACTGAACTTAGTTGAAGGAACACATAACTGAATGAATGCTGAATAAATGAATGAACAAATGAACAAGTGAGTCCTAGGAGGCCTACAAGGTTAGCCAACCTGTAGAGTGTGGAAGCTTCAAGTGTTGTCAAACAAAATGTTAGAAGGCAGGGCGTTCAGTGGAGACCTCGCCAATTCCTCACTGTGTGGCTCACGCTTCACTTCTGTAGCGGAGTTCCCTCCTCGACAAAATGGGAACAATTATTCCTTCTCTGCCTGCTTCACAGGGTTGCTGTGAGGGTCAACTAAGACAGGGTGAAAGTCCTTGTGAACTGTCAGTCACTGGATAATATCTGAGGACTTCTGTTAGAAGCGCTGCGAGGTGGGGGGCATGGAAGATGGACCAGCCAGACTCAGTGCCTCCCAGATGAGTAGGGAAGGGAAGGTGCTGATGACATAACTGTGATGTTATCAGGACTAAGTTGTTTTACCTTTCAACAAATGCTTACTGAGCACCTAACATGTGCCAGGTACTCGGCTAGGTACTTTCCCAGACACTGTCTCGCTGGAACCTCACAACTTCCCCAAAGCTAAGTAATTTATCTCTATTCTAAAGGTGGGAGAGCTGAGGCAAAATAATTTGCAAAAGTCACACAGCTGTTAAGAATCCTCACTGGGAGTAAACTCCATCTTCTGGCAGACCCTCAACTGGCGTCTCCCCCCTGTGATGACGAACCAGAGACAGGAGAGATGGGGAAGCCTGAACAAATGAGTGGGGGTGGGGGCAGAGCCAGTGGTATTTACTAACCACTCGTCTGTACCCTTCCATTTCCCAGGTTCCTTGCAGTTAGGTGATCACATGACTAGTTCTGGCCAATGAAAGATAAGCTTAAGTGACAAGTGCCACTTTTGAGCTGATGTATGACAATTCTAGGAGTCCCTGGGTGACACAAACAGTTAAGTGCTCAACTATTAACAGAAAGATTGGTGGTTTGAACCCACCCAAAGGCACCTCAGAAGAAAGGCTGAGTGATCTGCTTCCAAAAGGTAAGCAAAACAACCAAACCCTTTGCATCAAGTTGATTCTGCCTCATAGCAACCCTACAGGACAGAGCAGAACTGCCTCATAGGGATTCCAAGGCTGTAATCTTTACAAAAGCAGATTGCCACATCTTTCTCCCGCAGAGCAGCTTGTGGGTTCGAACCACCGACCTTTTGGTAAACAGCCAAGTACTTAACCACTGCGCCACCTGAGCTCCTTTCCAAAAGGTCACAGCCTTGAACACTATGGGAGTACAGTTCTACTCTGAAACACATGGGGTTGCCATGAGTTGGGATCGACTTGATAGCAGTTGTTTTTTTTCTTTGTTTTGTTTTGTTTTTTATACACAATTCTCTTTTTCCCTGCTATGGCTAAAGTGGATGCCTCATATTCCAAAGGGTACTAGATGGTGCAGCCTCTGTCAGCCTGGGTCCCTAAGTAACTGTGGAGTAGAAGCAAACCCCTGCCAACACAGAATATGAGGTTAACACTTTGTTATACAGTGAGATTTCAGAGTTGTTGATTTCCACAGCAAAACCTGGCCCTTTCTGACTAATGCAGGAGAGTCCTGGGAAGGCTGAATGGAGCAGACAGCCTTGAACTGGAGGGTGGCTGGACATGAGGGATCCTAGGCTGAGAAAACACAATGCACAAAGGCACAGAGCTTGTATCAGCACGAGGTACTATTGTTGTTGGTTCCCTCAGGCCTTGAAGCGGGCCTTGCACCATACCTGGTGTTGATAATTGTTTGTTGAGTGAACCAAGAAACAAAGGAGTGAATGAAGAGGAACAGGATTATTCTATCTCCACCCAAAGGCTGGGTAAATACCCAGGATGCCATGGCCATGGGCGGGGCCTCCAAGGAACAGAACGTCCTGTTCCTGGTCACTAAGGCAAGGGTGGTGGGAGGCCTCACCTTCTGTCCTGCCCTTCTAGTCTGTTTCCTCAGAGATTCTGGGTAAGTACTCTGGGAACAAGCTGGCCAATGGATACAGGTCTTTAGACGTCACCAAGATCATCCACACTTCCCATCAGAGGGATTAATGGAGCTCACCTGTGAGTCCCCGTGTTCACTCGTTTGTGCATTCATTCATTCACTCACCAAAATGTGTACTGAGCACCTACTACGTACCAGGTACTAGGATACAGTGGTGAATAAGACAAGGTACCTGCCCCTCTCATGAAGCTTACATTCTAACAGGGAGCACAAGAAAAAACCAATAAACACCTAATAATAAAATTATTACAAACTATGATAAGAGCAAAGAAGGAAACAAACAGGGCCCTGGCATAAACATAACAGGCTGGTGGGACCCCTTTTTCAAGGCCTGATACCTATCCTCATTTCAAAGCTGAAAAATTAATGCTCAGCAGTGATCGCACCCCATGATCTCACAGGGTTCACCTTCCCAACACTCAGCTTTGACACCTCAAAGTCTTGTTGACATCTTCTGAATGAAGTCTTCTCCTTCAGCCTGGCCCTCAGGCCCTCCAAGGGGCTGCTCCAACCTTTCTTCCCAATGTGCCCCTTCACTCCGGGTGGGATGGGAGCACCGCGCTCTCCAAAGTCCTCTGTACCTCTGTGCCTATCCCCACGTCTCTCCTCACGCCATGTCTCCAGCCTGGATGCTCTGTCAACCCAAGTCCTTCCCAAAGTCACACAGGGTGGACCCCCTCCTCATATCAGTGGTCACTTGAATGTGTGCTGACATGACTGAGGCCACACACCTGTGACTGACACAGAAGGAGGGCCTAGGAGGGAGGAAGGAGACTTCAAGTTGTAACAGGTGACAGTGCCCAGATCCTGAGCAGCTCCTCTAGGAGCCTCAGTTTCTCCATCTGCCGAATGGTCACCAATTATAAGAGAATCTTTCCCTACCCCCAAATCCCTCAAGGCTAAGATGCCCTGCCCAGTATGGGTGACCATTATCAAAGAATCATACCAGTGACAACTTTTCAAGCACTTCCGATGCTCTAGGCATTGTACTCAGTACTTCATGTACACTCTCACTTAACACTCACAGCAATTCCAAAAGGGAGGTATTCCTAGCTCCGTGTTACTGATAAGGACAGTGAGGGACAGAGACATTAAGTGACGTGTCCAAGGTCATACAGTGATAAAGTCACCACTGGAACTAAAAAGCATGTAAATCTGAGGTCTGGCCTGGTCTAGGAAGGAAATCTGACTTTATTCTAATGGCACAGGGATGGTTTTTAAAAGGAAATTCAATCAGACAGGCAGGATGGAATGATGGTTAAGAGCATGGGCTTTGCGTCTAAGATACTCCACTGGTCCCACCTCGTCTGGAGCAAGGGAGAATAAAGAAAACCAAACACGCAAGGGAAAGATTAGTCCAAAGGGCTAATGGACCACAATGACCAAAGCCTCCACCAGACTGAGTCCAGCATAACTAGATGGTGCCTCGCTACCACCACCGACTGCTCTAACAGGGATCACAACAGAGGGTCCCGGACAGAGCTAAAGAAAAATGTAGAACAAAATTCTAACTCACAAAAAAAGACCAGGCTTACTGGTCTGACAGAGACTGGCGAAACCCCAAGAATATGGCCCTGGAAACCCTTTTAACTCAGTACTGAATTCACTCCTGAGGTTCACCCTTCAGCCAAAGAGTAGACAGGCCCATAAAACAAAATGAGACTAAATGGGCACACCAGCTCAGGGGCAAGTACGAGAAAGCAGGAGGGGACTGGAAAGCTGGTAATGGGGAACCAAGGTCGAGAAGGGGAGAGTGTTGACATGTCATAGGGTAAGCAACCCATGTCACAAAACAATATGTATACTGTTAATGAGAAACTAGTTTGTTCTTCATCTGAAATACAATAATAATAAAAAAAAAGAGCACGGGCTTTAGAACATGACAGATCTAGGTTCAAATCCCAATACCACCATTTACTGGCTAGATAACTTTGGGCAAAAAAAAAATCTTTTGAGGGCTGTTTGCCCCCCCTGTGAAGTGCGGATAACAGTCGTTCCCACCTTAGGGGGCCAGGGGCAGTAACTACAAGGAGTTGACCTCTGTTCCTTTCTTTTTCCTCACCCTGTAGGTGGAGAACAAAGGCAGAAGGACTGCTCTCCATCTGCTGACATCAGTGAGCCCTGAGAGTATCCCCAACGATGACATTTGCATTGCTCCCCTGTTTCCCAATTCCTTCATTCCTCTTCCTCTTCCCTTCCCACCACTTCCTTACCCTGTTCACCTCCCTGAGCAGGAAGCCCAAAGTCGGCCCACAACACCACCCTCAGAAGTCCCCATGGCTACCTCTGGATTCCCAAGAAGAGCCTCTCCCGGCATCCTCCCCGCGCCTGGGCCTCACCTGCAGGATGGAGGTGCGTTGCTCGTTCTTGTGCACCTTGGAGGCCAGCCGGTTGAACTCGAGGGCCATGCGGCCCAGATGGGTGAAGAGCTGGCTGTGGTCTGGCTCCTCGGCACACACGCTCAGAGTGGTCTCCAGCCGCTGCAGGTGCAGCATCAGGTTGCCGTCCTCGCGGGGCAGGGGGCCCAGCTCCTGCTTTGGGGGGGCATGGGTCCCTCTTCACTAAGGCCTGGGTAGGCACTGCCAGTCCATTCTCCCTGTGCTTCCCCATTCCTCATGATCAGTTTCCCGCTCTGGTCCCAGCTCAGCCCAGGGAAATTCTCCAGTTATGCAGGTTTCCTGTCTGGGGCTGACTCACAGGGCAGGACCCAGGGCTTCCAGGCCACTGTCTGGCTTAACAGCAGTGGGAGCCACCATCTTCCCACACTCTGGGCCTCACTCAGGGCTTGTGGGTAAATCACTCATCCCCTGGGCCTCAATGTCCTCATCTGCTACACGTACATACCCCTCTTCTCTCCCTTCTACTTCACAGGGTTCTTATGGGGATGAATAAACACAGGAAAGCAGTGAGCCCAGAAAAGGCAGAGTACTATATATACAGCACTACTTCTTTAGCTCAGGGATTCTTAACCGGAAAGCCACGCAGGGACCAAAACTGTCTGAATTTTATGTGTAAGTGGGTGTCTTCTGGGGAATGGCCCATGCATTCATCAGCTTCTGAGAGGGCCGAAGACTCAAAACAGGTTAAGAATCACGGCTCTAGAGACTTCAAAAATCCCCGTTTAGTAAACATATAAGTAAGGAAATGAGGCACAGCGGGGGCAAGGTAGTACACTCACTCTCCTCTGTCCAGAACGACTCCTCCTGAAGACACCGCCTTTGTTACGCCAACACGGTGCCCAAGGACCCGCGGTGGTGCCTCACACAGACTGTGTCAAGCCCAGCTCCCCTGCCTGGCATGTGAGGCCCCACAGCACCCGATCCCACCTGAGGAGGCATCTGGCTGGGCTCCCCACCTCCCCACCCCAGGCCTCCTCGAGCTTCGTCCCCCAGTGTCCTCTCTGCCTCTGCAAACCTTGTGCATCCTCCAGGCCCCACCCACATTTCACCTCCCCCAGGGGGCCTGCCCTCAAAATCTGTGGGAATCACAGGCCACCAGAGCTACGGGGGGCCTCACGGTTCAAGCTGGTAAACCGAGGTATAGGGAAGAAGGAACTTGCCCAGTCACCCACGAATCAGGCAGAGCTAGGGCTAGAACACAGGTTTCCTGACTCACGATCCAGTGCTCTGCCACACTGACCTCCCACTGTAGCAATGGAAGTGACCTCTAATCACAACTTGGCATTGAGCTAGTGCCCACTTAACATTGTTAGCACCTCATTCTATCAGGAAATAATGCTACTTATTCAATTCTGCATTTATTTCCCTGCTGCCTCTTTCCACACAGGCATCAAGGTGGCCAATGCTGCTCTGTAAAGCTCATGGATTATTTCACGTGTCTGATTTCTCCCACTGGCCTACAACCTCCCACAAGGCAGGGATGCTGTCTTCTCTTTGCTCAGCCTAGGCTAGGCATATTGGAGAGGCTAAGGAGGAAGGTATTAACCAGATAAAGTTACTGGTCCAAGGCCATAGAGAGACCTTCTAGCAGGGGGTCCTGCCTCCTCAGCCAGCTTCTCAGAGCCCTCAGGGACAGATCTCAGGAGACAAAACACAGAAAACCCTTCTAATACTCTGAGCTGCCTGGTGAGCTCAAGGCATGCTAGTCGTCACTGAAGGCTTGCTAGTATAATCTGGACAGCTACTTGACGGGGATACTGCTCTGTGGATTCAGAGCTACAAGAAGCAATCAGTGAGTACAAGGGCAATGTCTGCCACCTGAATCCTTTGTGGGATGAGGCAGTGGGGCTCCAAGGTATCAGAAAAGGGCTAGGCCATGTACTGCTTGACTAACAACAAAATATCTCCAAGAGGGGAGGGAGAAGGAGGAAAAGGCAGACTTTAAGACCTCAGAAAGATTCTCCAATAAGCCTGCCATTTTGAGAGGTAGCAGCAGAAGGAAGCTACAGTTGAGATAAAGGTGCAAGTGTGGTAAGGTGTGGAATGAGGATGCTGGGTGGACACCCAGAGCTGACAGTGTTTGTGTGTGCGCACACGTGTGTATAAGTAGAAGGTTTAACCTCCTACCTGCGTGCCCTGGAGGGGAGACTGAGAGGAACCGAGAGTCTGTACAAAAGGATAAATCACCTGCCTTAAACCACCCTGGGCCTTTCTGACCTCTTCTACTCCACTCAGGCCAGAAGCCTTGAGGCCCACAGGACTGAGTCACAGTGTGTGTGGAGGTGCCCGGTGCTCGGCAGAGGCCAACAGGGCTGGCAAAGTGCCCAGGCTTTCACAATGGCCAGGGGCCCGTTTGGCCTGAGTTGGGGAAGTCACCAGCCTGGGATTTGCATATGAAAGCGAGACGCACCCTCTCGTTCCAGCCCTCGTGTGTCCCAAATGACTCCAGGGTCCCCAAGGAATCTGAGTGGGCCCTGTGCCTCTCACACGGGCAGGACAGGACCCAGGGCCCTGCCCATCCACTCACCATTGTGTTCCTGGTGCTGCCACCACTCTCTGGTGGAGAATTCTGCTCCTCAGCAGGGACGACTTCAAATTCAGAGGAAGTGCCCTGTGAAGAAAGTGAGTTAGGGACTGCCTAAGAGAAAACACCTTGGTCTCTCCTCAGGAGACTGAAGCTGGGAGCAGGGAGGGGCAGAGAATGGAAGGACAGAAAACCTCTTCTTGTCCCCAGTTTGTCCCTGTGGCCTGCTCTGTGCAAAGGGGAGATGGCCTAGGCTGAGCTCACAGGGGACTTCACACATCACTTCATATGAGACCACAAAGCAAGGTCCCCACAGCCTGCTATAACTCACTGCATGATCTAAGGTCACGTCCCTTCTCTGCCCAGTTTCCTCATCTGTTAAACAGCGATCTTGGACTAACTGACTTTGAATTCCCTAACACTTTAGGACTGCATTTTCTTTAAAAAGACCTTGTACTTAGCATTTTCACAAACTCCATTATTTCCCAAGGCAACCCATGGGAGGGGTCAGAGGGTTTTGTCCCCTTTAGACAAATGAGGAAACTGAGGTCAAATTGTTAAGCAAATATATAAGGAGGGGATAAACCAAAGGACTGCAAACCCAGAGTTCTTGCTATTGCACCAGAACTATCTCACAGGCCCATGTCTCCAACTGGTCGCCTAGACAGCAGTTATGACGGCCACCACCAAGCATGGTCTTTTGCCGGCCTTGCCATCTCCCAGCCCCAGAGAACTGATCTGAGAAAAATCCCAGATACTTCAACAAATTTGGAGAGACTTTCTTAGGATACAGCCAAATCCTGAGTGGCCGAGGAATCCCAGACTTTTGTATCTCTACCACTCCAAGTAGAATTCACTGACTCTACAACCAACCGACAGGCTAAACTGGCAGCTGAATCTGGGATTCCTATTAAACCTGTTCTACAAAGACCATTTCAGCCTTCCCTAATCCCAGGAAGAGGCAGGATGGATGGGAGGAATTCTGTGTTCAGCTTCTAGTTGAGCCTCATGGCCTCCAAGAACCTAAGTCTGGGTGTTGGCCCTGCCCTTTGGACCCTAAAAAGTCTGCCTTTCACCTCCACATTTTCCCAGTTACCTGCATGACCTTGGAAAGTGCCCTTCTCTCTCTGGACTTATCTGCAGATTGAAGATGCTAAACTAGATGATCCTTTGGGTCCCCTCCAACCCTGGTGTTAGACTGAATTGTGTCCCCCCAAAATAGGTGTTCTAAATCTTAACCCCTATACCTATGGTTATAATCTCATTTGGGAAAGGGTTCTTTGTTATGTTAATGAGATAGTATTAGCGTTGGGTGTGTCGAGTCAATCTCTTTGAAGATATAAAGAGATTAAACAAGGAAGCAGAGATGGGGAAAGAGAAATGCCAAACCACATGAAGATCCCCCAGGAGCAGAAGCTCAAAAGAGGCAAGGATCTTCCCCCAAAGCAGACAGAGACAGAAAGCCTTCCCCTAAAGCTGGCACCCTGAATTCGTACTTCTAGCCTTCTAAACTGTGAGAAGACAAATTTCTGTTGGTTAAAGCCACCCATTTGTGGTATTTCTGTTATAGCAGCACTAGATAACTAAGACACCTAGGATACCAAGCGAAACTTCCCAAGCCACATCTAATGAAGACTGTTTCTGAGCCCTCTTTGAGAATGTGAGCTCCGTGTCATGTCCATCTCTTCTCCCAGCACTATGCACAGTCACTACATACTTAACATTATGCAGCTTAATAAACGGGAGGGATTCCTTTGCATATCAGGTCTTCCTGGTAAGCTTTAACCATGACCTTCATTTGAAAATAGGGAAACTGAGGCCCTAGAGAGATTGAGACTGACTTGCCCAATATCACCCACCAAGTCAGAACCCAGGTTGCTTGACCTCAACCCTCATTCTTCACATTCTTGTAGATCAGCAGGACCTTGAGGTCCAGGCAACCTGCAGCCATGATTCCAAATGCAACTTACACTGGATGGAGGTTTTGGGACCGGCTCTGGCTTGTCACTGGGGTGTGCACCGTCAGCGGGAGGTGCTGGGACATTTGTGTCCTTTCCTAAAGAATCAAGAGAGAAAGGACGAGGATGAGCAGCAGGCTACGAGGAGAAGCCCACATACCGCCCCCTTAGGAGAGCCCTGGCCAGAAGAGTTCCCAGACAGTTTCCCACAAGAGTCTGGGAAAATGGAAGGTGGTCCCACCAGGGCCTGGAAGGATGACTGGCCCTTGATGATGGGAACAGAAAGACTTCTTCCCTGGACTTACTGGGAAAATCCAAAGTGGCCACTGTTCCTTGCTACCTTGGACCTGCCTCAACGATAAGGGTGATGATTTACAATTTACAAAGTGTTTTTTATCTCTTATTTCAGCCAGTTCTTGTGACAGCCCTGTACCCCCAGTTTAAAGGTAAAGAAACTGAGGTTTGGGATGGTCACCAGCTTGCCCACAATTACACGACCAGAAATTGTAAAACCTATTCTCAAATTCAGCTCTCCCTCCCTGACTTCCTGGGGCTCTTGTCACAGGGAGCCCCTTGAGGGGAGCTCCACATTTCACTCTCAGAGTGGGCCTGGTACCCAGCAGGGACGCTGCTGAATGGACAGGTGGAGGCTGGACATACCCATCAACTGCAGCATAGTGGGACTCTGAGATCATTCCTGACCTCCACCTATCCGTTGAGCAAAGGTAACCACCAGCCAAATGGAAGGCTGTCCACCATGTGGCCTGGGCCAAGACCATAAGTGGGGCTAGAGCACGAAGCATCTGAGCTCCATGGGTGGGGACCTCTTTTTCCCTCGTCCCAGACCTTGCCCTAGACTTGCAGACATGCCAGAGTAAGTGCACAACGGCCACACACAGGACTTTAACCCTTAGTCACAGCCAATGCTTTCCTTTACTATGAAGTGTATGTGACATTACATCTGAAATACACTGTGGTGGGATAACAGGCAAGTCCAGAGTCTTCCCCAGGCCTCAGCCACCCCAATTGTAAAATGGAAGGTGGGGCTGGACCAGAGAGCTTTCAACGGAGTGGCTGAAAGTAGCTGCCTGGAGCACTATACCTGGCACACATTAGTTGCTCATTAACTATTTGTTGAATAATATGCTGCTAAAGGTCCTGCGGCCACATCAGGGCTGAGTGGATTGTGATCCATTAGTTATGTCAGCCAGGGCCTCAGGGGTAGCAAGTCACCAGCCACTTTTGGACAAGATTATTTTGAAGTCCCTTCCAAATCTGACTTTCTGAGGGATGCTGTAGCCAAAAAAAATGAATGGGAGGAGGTCTGTGGCCTAAGGGTAAACAAGGGAGCTGTGGGTTTCAGAATAAGAACGAGGTCCACTGTTAAGGGTTTAGGCAGTTTGGGGGCATAGGGAAAGGTTCCCCTTGTACCTGTGAGCTCAGCCAGGTGATCAAACGAGGCCAAGGAGGAAGAGGGTTGCTGGAGCAGCTCACTGTCCTTGACCAGCTCCTCTGCCTTCTGCCGGAGTCTGGACGCTTCCATCTGTGATTCCTCCAAAAGCTCCCCTGGAGAGACAATGGGGGAAGGGAGGAGCAAAAAGGATTTTCTTAACTCTACCATGCCCTGAAGCCTGCTTCTGCCGAGCTTCAGAGGCTTCAGGCCCTGGACTTCGCTCCTACCATTGCTTTGAGGGCTGAGTGGTATAAGTACCATTCCTACTCACCACTAGAAGCAAGTCAGAGAAAGAAAATGAAAAAAAAAAAAAACAAAACCCTGTTGCCATACTGAGTCGATTCCAACTCATAGCGACCCTGTAGGACAGAGTAGAACTGCCCCATAGGGTCTCCAAAGAGGGCCTGGTGCATTCTAACTGCCGATCTTTTGGTTAGCAGTCGTAGCTCTTAACCACTGCGCCACCAGGGTTTCCAGAGAAAGGAAGAGGGACCACCAATTGGGGAAAATAGGATTGGTGAGAATCTAGGGAAAACTGGCCCCTGGCACCCTTTCCCTGCCCCACTCCTTCCATACCCAGCCATGGAGCTCTACAGAAAGCCAGGGGCTCTCTTGAGCCTACCAACAGGGCACCTGGGGGCTACCCACGGCCTAAGTCCCCAGAGTCAGGGGGTGTCTAAGGGGTGGAAACCCTGGATGATGCCAGCCACCCAGGAGTGAATTGCTTCAATCCCTCTAGGCCTCAATTTTCCTTCTCCAGCCAGTGGAGAAGGAGAACCCCGCCCCCCAACTCCAATCTGTGGTCCCAAGCAGTGATCTGTCAAGCAAGGAGAAAGCATTTTGAAAATCAGGAACTATGCTATTCCCCAAAGCCTGAGACCAGAGAAGGTAGCAGGAAGGCAGACAGTGTTAGCAGTTTGGACAAAAGAGAGACCCTGTCTGGATGGGAAATCAACAGAAACCTCGCATGGGGAGGAGATGGCCTCTGAACTGGGGGCTGATGGGTGGGGATGATGCAGTCATGTGGAGGTGGGTGAGGTTGTGCTAGGCAGTGGGGACAGCTCAAGCAAAAAGCCAGAAGAGAAATCAAGGGGGCCTACTCCCATCTCGCTTCAAGCCAGGCTCTGCTCCCTGCTCCCTACCCTACTGCCTGGGGGCCCATGTCCTGGCTCCCTTGGTGACACCAGCCCTCCACATTTCTTGCTGCCTCTGGAAGATGAAGACCTTCTGGTTCCATGCCCACAAACCAGGCCTTCTAGTTTTCTCTCCCCCACTTATCTCCTCCTCCTCAGTCCCGCAAGGCACCCTGTGTCCTGTCATCATGGCTCTGGGGAATACTGTCACCAGTGCTGGGCAGGAGGGCAAAGGATGGCTTAGGGAGGTATGCCAGCCCAGGCTGCAGGGAGGGGGCTCGCAGGGAGGGTGCAGGGTCTGCTTTACCTAACATCTTTATCCCTTGCATTTTTTCCTTCAGCCGGGAATTCTCCTCCACTAGGCGCTCAAAAGCTGCGGATGCCTCTCCTGGAGGCGCGCCGCCCCCAGGGTCGTAGATCCGGTAGGGTCCTCTCCCTTCCATGGGGGTGGCTCAGCCCCTGCCGTGGTGCCCGCCTGGCTGTAAGGACAACAGCAGTATATCAGGGGGCTGGCCAGGCCATTCAGGCATCCTCTCTGGGCAAGCTCTAGTCTGTCAGTGCCTCAGAAGGCAGTCCTCATAACCCAGAATGGAACACAGCAGTCCAGGCTTTGATCTGGACACTCAGCCTCTGTTAATACAACCTTAGATGGCATCAGTTTGTTGTAGCAGCCTCACTGCATTGCTGGTTCTTTTGGAACAGCAATCAACTGTGAGGTGCAATGTGGGGTACAATGAAGAGCACTGGGTTGGAGTCAAAACACTGGAGCTCAAGTCCTGTCTGTGGGGTCCAGAAAGACAGGGACCCTGCCTGTTCTGCTCATCACTGAATCTCTAGTGCGTGGCCCAGAATTAGCTATGAAGAAGATGCCCAACAAACACTTACCAAATGAATGAATGGCCTAGCCATTAACTCACTGAGGGACCTTGGACAGCCCCTTCCGCAATCTGAGAATTCAGTCTTCCCATTTGTAAAACGAAAGTCTTAAGCTAAATCAGTGATCTCTAAAGTGAAGTGCTTGCCTCCTAAGGAATAAGCAACTTGATCCAATCCAGAGTTCCATCTATATTTACATTATTTTCTTTAAAAATAAGAAGAAAAAAGCCTAATATTTAATATATGAATTGATATGTTACCCTCCTGTCAGCCTCATATCATAGATGATCTGTCTCTTCCAGTTCTAATGAGCAGAAGAATTTTCCATCAAACTCTTACCTACTTGTACAGCAGATGTTTTATATTAATCTGTTCACTTTCATTGCTTTATTTCATTTGAAACCACCTGCAAAGTGATTTCAGAATCCTAGTTCTGTGACCCAATAGAGCGACTCTCTTTCCTATCATTCGTTCATTCATCCATCCAACAATTATTTATTGAGAATCTACTCTGTGCCGGGTACTAGTCTGGGTGCTGGGGAATTATCAGCAAACAAAACAGACAGAAATCCCTCATGGAGCATTTCCCCATTAGTGGGAAGAGAGGTGGTAAGCAGATGGATGGATTGGATGGATGGATGGATGGATGGATGGATGGATGGATGGATGGATGGATGGATGGATGGGATGGAGGGAGGGAGGGAGGGAGGGAGGGAGGGAGGCAGGGATGGATGGATGGACAAGGAAAAGAGGATGGTATTTCAAGTGGTAAAAAAGGCTATGGACAAAAAAAGTCTGTGGAGGATAAGCAGTACCAGAGAGAGGTGGGGACTTTAATTTTAAATAGCCCTCTCAGGAAAGGCTTCAGGGAGAAGGAGCTGACGGAGTTAGCCATGCAGACATCTGGAGGAAGAATATTCCAGGAAGAGAGAACAGTAAACGCAAAGGACCTGAGGCTGAAAAACTGTCCCAGCTTGCAGCCCTACAAACAGCTCACCAACATGAAAGAGCTCCAAAGGCCTCCACCTGGGGCCCTCAGGACTTGGGGACGGAAACCTCCTTCAAGGCGAAAACTGTCAGGAATCCCCAAAGGCCGCAAACTCATACAGTGCTTGATGAAAGAAAAGGGCTGAGAATGATTAATAGTAACAGCTATCATTCATTAGTCATCTATGTGCCAGGCACTAACTGCTTCAGATGCATTCATTCTCTCAGCTAAGCTGCACAACTCTTAAACATACTAATACCATCCTCACTTACAGGGGAAGAAACTTAGGCTCAGAGAGGTTAAGTAACTCAGTCACAATTATTTATTGTGAAAGACAAGACGCAAATCTGGCTCTGCCTGACTGTGAAGACTGAGACTTGAACCCCGGCTACACTCACACACCGTGACACAAGGCCCCGTCACTCAGGCCAGATGGGCGAGTCCATATGGAGAGTAACACTGGGCTACCAGGTAACTTCTGGGCTGTTTCCCCTGCCCTGCAGCATAAGAAATAACAAAGATTTTGATTATCAAAATCCATGTTGTCCCATGATAACAAGACAGTCTATGTTACTATGGGACAGCACAGACCAGAAAGAAAAACAAAGTTCTAGCAAGTGGGTCCCTTCCCCTCCAAAGACAAGATGAACACACACTGCGGGAGGCACCCACACACTGCTGGGCTCTGCTCAGGCAAAGGCCAGCTGCCCACACGCCCAACAGAAAAGTCATCACTCAGCTTAGGAGTGACTTGTTTTGAACTTAAAAGGTCAATGTTACCCAGCAGAGCAATAAAACCCTGATGTGTTCATTGAATTAAAGAGATAGTGTGGGTAAAGCACTTAGCACAATGCCTGGCATACAGTAAGGTGTTCATAAATGTTTGCAGACTTGGAGGGGGGCTTCCTGTGTGCTCCTCCTTCAGCTCATCAAAGCACCTCCCACCCTGTATGGGATATATCTGACTGGTGTGAGCATTTTCTCACTGACTGTGAGCTTCCTGCAGGCAGGAGCATGCTTGACTTGTCTCTGGGTTCCTGTCACTAGCACAGGTCCGGTGCTTGGAAGGTGACCCATTATCGAACGCTGAATGATTTCACAAACTGGGGGAGGTTGAGAGCTGGGAGGGGCCGTAGCCACCTTTAGTGATCAAGTAGTAGCCAGCAGTCTGGTTACTGTTCACTGCTCTAAAACAAACAAGGTGCCATCAAGTTGATTCTGACTCAGAGCAACCCCACGTGTGTCAAAACAGAACTGTGCTCCATAGGATTTTCAAGGGCTGATATTTTGGAAGTAGATCACCAAGGCTTTCTTCCGAGGTACCTTTGGGTGGACTCGAATAGCTAACCTTTCAGTTAGCAGCTAAGCACTTAACCATCGGCACCACCCAGGGATTTGTTCACTGTTCTACGCTTCCCCTAAATGGAACTCACAGTTGACATCACATGATGATTTCGGTCATTCTTTTACCCCATGTCTGACTTACTCATTAGATTAGAAGCTCCATGAGAGCAGCAACCGAGTCCATCTTCTTTACTGAGGTACATTCAGAGAGGAGGCCAAAAAAACCTCTAGTTCAGAGCAGAAAGACTCAAAAGACCAGAGGAGCCCTCAGCTCTGCCTCTGCCTCCCAGAGGCCACATTCAAACATCAGGGACAGAGAGCCTGACCACGACCCAGACCAGAGGTGCTGTGGAAAGCCATGTATTTCTAGAATCAGGGCCGGACAGACATGCTCTTAGATACGCCCAGACGTAAGGCCAAGCCACAGAGCAGGATGCAGGACCCAGGAACGGAAACCTCGATCTCTACGTCTCCTAGCCATGCCACCACACTCAGTAGGCCTCAGCACTGGGTAGGCAGCAGGGGCTTGTGGAAGCAGAAAAGAGGGTAGACAGGGCTGTTCTCCCCTACTCCAGCCTTGGTGGGCAGAGCTGGGAAGGGGCACAGGCTGCCAGGCCATGGGCACAGGGAACCCAGCAGTAATAGCTACCGTGAGAAAACCCTCTCTGGAGGTCAGAAGTGCCACCCAACGGGGGGCTGGCACTCGGGGAGAAAGAAACACAAAGAGAAACAGGGAATTTCCACGGCTGCTGACCTCATGCCCAGATGGTCAGCAGCACGGCAGTTCCAGGATGACTGAAGGGCAGGCAGAACTCTCTTCCTGGTCATTGTGGCTTTTTCACCCTCTCCTGGACAGGGAATACATTCAGAGGATGACAGGGCTGGAAGGGACTCTCCGAGGGTAACGAGCAGGTCCCACATCCCCGAGTGGGACAGACTCGCCCAGAGCCACACAGCGCACCAGGGCTGCATCAGCCACGGAGCCCAAGCCTCCTGCCTGCCAGCCAGCAGCACTTATCCCCCTACACAACATGCAGGAGAGCTACTCACAACCTATCCTCCTCCCCTGCTGTGTGCAGAAAGGGACAAAGGGGCCCTGGCCCTAGCCTTGCATGGTGTGGTATCTGGAGTTCAGAGCCCAGGAGCCCTTGGCATTAGCTAATCTGATCCCCCTCACCAGCAGCAGCAGAGCACGGAGGCGTGGCCCAGAGCAGCAAAGGCCAAGATCACACAAAAAGTCAGGATGGAGCTAGGGCCGGAAGTGCCCTGCTCTCTCTCCATTCTCCCCTCTGACCCCACCCATCTGCGATGCCATTGCAAAACAAAGGGGCCCCTTTCCACCTCTTTATGGAGTCTGGCTCCAGATTTCAGATCTACCTGGGCCCAGTTCGAGAAGCTACAAATCAGCAGGTCACCCACCAGCTGTGGGACACCACCTCCCTTGTCAAAAACAAACAGACGGTGAAAAGGCAGCCAGCTTAGAGCTTCTTCCAAAACAAGACCTCAGCTGAGTGGGGGGAAGCTCCCACAGTCTGCCCCGGAGGGGCCCTGGGGCTGCCCGCCGGAACCAGAAAGGCCTGTCTGGGGGCAGAAAGAGGCCTAGGCAGATGGCAGGTCAGGCGGCGACCACAGAGCGTGTAGATGGAAGTGAAGCTATTGAAACTGAAGGAGCCACCAGCCCAGAGAGAGGATGCAGCGGCCGGAGAGCAGCTGAGGGGGGTAAAGGGGCAGAGCATGGGCCCAAATAGCAGCCTCTGTCCAAGAATAGGGTTGAAAAAAAGCCAGATTCAGAATTAAATTTAAATTCCAGCTTCCACACTGAAATGCTTCGCCCGTCTAAGACTGTCATGCCATAAGCCATGTGCTGGTGGTGGGGAGGAGGCTTCCCAGGACCCCAAAATGATATCAATGTGCATAATTTGAAAAATCCTTGGTTTCCCAAGTATTGTGTTCCCCTCTGATTGTCACAACAGCCCTAGTCAGGGACGGATTACCCAACAAGCAAGGTACTACACAGGGGCTAACCGTGTTTACTTACTCATTTGTAGTGCACAATTTCACCTGTTTTTCACCACATCTTTGATATGAAACTCACGTGAAATGGTTCAGTACAGATTAGTAAGTAAACACAGTTAAACCTGTGTGCACCATACTTACTGGTTAATCCGCCCCTGCCTGGAAGGATGGCAGGGTTGATATAGGTTTGACAGATGAGGAAATTGAGGCCCAGCTCAGTGGCCTAATCAGCACAATTTAATGCTGCTGGTCATC